GACGTCATCCCACAACTCTTCTGGTTTTTGGTCTTTAGTGTTTAATGCTTCAAATCTGTTCTTCAGATGATCTCTGTGAGTATAGCTTGTCCAATAACATGTACATCTCAAGATGGCATCTTCTGCAGGGCAACTCTATTTTTTGTGTGTGTGATGCAAGTCTCTGCTGTTTTGTCTAGGTTATTAACTTCCCTATTGATGTTCTTTCTATATGAGTCCAGGAAATAATTTTGTGCCTGTATAAGATATGTAGTAGATCAAATTTGTTTAATCAAGTTACGTAAACATCGGACCAGATTTCTGGCAGGCAATTCACATTGGCCAGCAGATGAATTTTCCCATCACACACCAAGGAGATTTGCAGCTTTTTATTTTGGAGATTACTGCAACATTTGAACCCTTGGATTACAGCAAATTAAAGTCCTTAGTTTTTGTGAAGGAAGCAGATCCTTTTAACTTTAACATTAAAATGATTTATTTAAAAAATAATATTCATACCATTTTGAGGGACAAAATTGCATTTGTGGTAATAAATGCTAGAAAACAGTCCTGTGCTCTGCACAAATATGTATATGTATGTATACACACACACACACACAGCCCTGGTGTGGGACTGTGGACTAATGTACTGGACTGCAAAGTTGCTTTGAACCACAAGGTTGGCAGTTCAAGCTCACCAGCCACTCCTTGGAAACCCTATACATAGTCACTATGAGTGTGAACCGACTCAAAGACACTTAACAAGCAGCAGTGTATATTGCTTTGAACCACAAGGTTGGTGGTTCAAGCTCATCATTGGCTTCTTGGAAACCCTATACAGAGTTGCTATGGGTCAGAACCGACTTGATGGCACTTAGCAACAACAAGAAGTATGGATGGTCATGAAAATGTAATATCCTATATTTAAATTATATCATATGTTGATATGACATTTGCTTTCTTTCTATTAATCTACTCTTACCAGCTGTTCTGGTAGCATAGTGGTTACGAAATGGGCTGGAAACTGCTAGGTCAGCAGTTCGAAACTCCCAGCTGCTCCGCGGGAGAAAGATGAGGCTTTCTGCTCCCTTAAAGATTTACAGCCTCGGAAACCCTGTTCAGGGTCGCTATGGGTTGGAACCGACTTGACGGCATTTAACAACAACAATCAGCTTTGGTAGCATAGTGGTTACGAATTGGGCTGGGAATCACAAGGTCAGCAGTTCGAAACTACCAGCTGTTCCGTGGGAGAAAGATGAGGCTTTCTGCTCCCGTAAAGATTTGCAGCCTCGGGAACTCTGTGCCGGGTCACTGTGAGTCAGAACCGACTCCATGGTACTTAACAGCAACTATAACTGTCAGCCAGTTCTCACCTCTAAAACTACGTAAAAGAATTCTGTTTTTTCTGTCTCCTTCAATTTTGATAATTTGGTAGAAAAGGTGATGAATCTTTTTTATTTCCAGGTGAAAAATGCTCAGTTTATTTTGATTATTTCTTACGTGATATGGTTGTTAGACCTCTAATCAGGCTAACCTAACTCCATGTTTGTCAAAATTCTCCTTAAAGTGGTATGCTCATAATTTCCCCTACGTAGGCTATACAGATTCCAGTGGATCCTCATTTATAAAGGTTTTTACCTTTCTTTTGATAGCTTTATAAAGTAATTGGTTCATTTTTGAACTTGTATTCCAAGACTATGGACACGTTTATTTTCCCCAGTTAAATAAGTTAGATTTTGCTTACTCTGATGGACACTCCACCTCCCACCCAATGCTTACTGTAATAATTCCTGTGTTTGAATTGTGTTTTCCTATTCTAAATTTCTGAA